CGATTTAGTACTTTTCGTACCCACATGTAACAAATTTCTAAAACTACGTTGATATCCCAATCCTACACTCCGACGGTACTTTTAATTTCAAATTCCAGAATTCCAGCTCGATTTGTATCTCCAAATTAAATTTTGTACCAAATATAGTACTTTTCGTACACATGAGTACACGCTTTCAAAACCATCTTCTCAACCATAATTCACATTCCAAATTTAAAGTTTTTAGCGCTATCCGTACACATGCTACAGAATTGTACCAAATTTAGTACATTTTCGTACTTTTGGGATAGTTATTGTTCGAATTTCCAAAAACCCTTTGGTACATCTATCCTACACTCCATCAACGACCACCAAACCAAATTTCAGAGTTCTAGCTCCACCGGTTCGCCAAATACAAATGGTATCAAATTTAGTACTTTTCGTACCGTTCTAGAACGAATTTCCACAAAACCAAAGCCTTATCTGTCACCTTTGGACCAAGAGTGACCCTCACCCAAAATTTCAAGATTCTAGCTTCAGCCGTTTCGTCTGGGCGTTGATGAATCGTTAAATCAGTAATCGTTACTCTTTTATTAGTAGAGAATTAGTACTTTTTAGTACTTTTCGTACCGTTCTAGTACGAATTTCCACAAACCCAGCCTTATCTGTCACCTTTGGACCAAGAGTGACCCTCACCCAAAATTTCAAGATTCTGGCTTCAGCCGTTTCGTCTGGGCGTTGATGAATCACTAAATCAGTGAGTCAGTCCCTCGTATATGTTGGATTCAGTGAGTGTGGCCCCCGGAGACTCCTAACTGATGATGAATCAGGGCTGTATGGTTATGACATGGAAATTATAACGCAATCACCTCTTTCGAACCTATCACAGATATTACGACCGTATTGGGTCGAATGTGGTAATTTACGTGTGCCGACAGAACCGACCGTGTTTATGGAAGAGCAAAATTGTGGTGATGTATCATGATGTACCATCAACCTTTGTGCGAAGTTTCGGAAGTATGGAAATTTGGAAGTAAGGTAAATTTTTATAACCTACACAACTATGTTGTCAGGGTATTATATTTTTGTAACGCGGCGAAATATTGGAACTAGACCCAAGAGTGTGCATACATCGCGAGATATTGCCCTGGCTCGTAATATAGCCCCGCAGAAACTTAGATTTAGTGGTAGTGGACTGACCATATGATACCCTAAAATCATATGGTCAGTCCAGTCCCACTATTCATACCTCGCTCACTGGTTATATTTGAATTTTGTTTTAAGAATTTAATGTCAGATTTAGTGATTTGCAGATATTCGGAGATGAAATTCTATTATTTTTTTATACTTGGTGTTATAAACATTTCTTTCTAAGAAAATTCCGTCCACAATGGGTTAATTATTGAATGACGCAGATCTCGTCCCATTACAATGTTAAATGCTCCACTGCCAACATTAATTCATTCATAAAATATTTCACAGGCAATTCATGTCGATTGAAAGTAAACAAAAAAAAATAGATAATAGAGAGGCAGACAGCCAACCAGTTAGTCAGTCATTCAGCGAATTGCGAAATAAAGGAAATTGAAGAGGAAAATCCGCCATGGTTTTTTTTCTAAGGATACATTCACTTTGGCTGGCAATGTTGTAATGGGAGATATTATGAGAGCAGTATTTTTTTTGCTGAAGTCAGGGGCGTGGAATATCATTTTAATGGTGATTAAAAGGAAGTAACGTGGTGGAAATATATTCTAAATGAGGAGGAAGTTTAAAAATAGAATCAGGGGCGTGAAAAAAAAACTTTCCGAATTTTTATATGGAATGTGCCTTGCCATTTGTTAGAGTTCTTGTGGAACTAAAGGGTCAAGACTTCATGACCATCAACAGTCGAGGCTACAGAGGAAATTATCCTTTGAGAATTTTTAATAGTTTCTGCAAAATCAATAGAGGTCAGCTGTGTTCCTCTACTCAAGGATTGTGTGACAGTCTTTACCAACTCCTCTTTATTTGAGAAATTTGAATTTGTGGGACAAATCTTGTTCCTCTATATGATGACCCTTGATCCCTTAACATTTACTAATGTTCCTGTGGAACTGTCGAATCATTTAAATTTCATTTTTTCGAGTGGCAATTATCCTTTGGGAATTTTTAACAGTTTCTGTAAAATCAACAGACATCGACTCAGTACCTCAGTTCGTGTCAAGGATTGTGTGACTGCCCATCTCCTTTTTACTCAGAAGCGTATACATGCAAATTTAAATTTATGGAACTTTGGAAATCCTGTTCCTCTTTGATTCTCTATATGATGAAGTCTCCCTAATTTTTTATATTGTTTCGTAAATATAAATCAGGGGTGTAGAACAACAGAACCAACCCCTCTTTATTTGAGAAATTTGAATTTATGGAACCTTGGAAATCCTGTTCCTTTATATGATGACCCTTGATCCCTTACCATTTACTAATGTTCCTGTGAACTGTCGAATCATTCAAATATCTTTTTCGAGTGGCAATTATCCTTTGGGAATTTTAACAGTTTCTGTAAAATCAACAGACACCGACTCAGTACCTCAGTTCGTGTCAAGGATTGTGTGACTGCCCATTTCCTTTTTACTCAGAGGCGTATATATGCAAATTTAAATTTATGGAACTTTGGAAATCCTGTTCCTCTATGATCCTCTATATGATGATGTCTCCCAAATTTTTTTATATTGTTTCGTAAATATAAATCAGGGGTGTAGAACAACAGATTTATATGACCCCCTTTAGAAAACATGACCAACCGATTTTCACGAAACTTTACACACATCATCCTGGACACAATTCAGTACATCATACCAAATTTCGTGGAAATCGAAATTTATATAGGGACTTTGGCACCTCATTTACATAAAATCGGACGAAAATATATATGGGAGCTATATCTAAATCTGAACCGATTTTCAGGAAACTTAACACACATCATTGTAGACCTAAAGCAGTACGCTATGCCAAATTTCGTGCAAATCGAAAGATATTAAGGAACTTTGGTGCACCCTTTACATAAAATCGGTCGAAAATATATATGGGAGCTATATCTAAATCTGAACCGATTTTCAGGAAACTTTACACACATCATTCTAGACCTAATTCATTACGCTATGCCAAATTTCGTGCAAATCGAATGATATATAGGGACTTTGGTGCACCATTTACATACAATCGGTCGGAAATATATATGGGAGCTATATCTAAATCTGAATCGATTTTCAAGAAATTGTACACACATCGTTCTAGACCTAATTCATCACGCTATGCCAAATTTCGTGCAAATCGAATGATATATAGGGACTTTGGTGCACCATTTACATAAAATCGGACGAAAATATATATGGGAGCTATATCTAAATCTGAACCGATTTTCAGGAAACTTAACACACATCATTCTAGACCTAATTCATTACGCTATGCCAAATTTCGTGCAAATCGAATGATATATAGGGACTTTGGTGCACCATTTACATAAAATCGGACGAAAATATATATGGGAGCTATATCTAAATCTGAACCGATTTTCAGGAAACTTAACACACATCATTCTAGACCCAATTCATTACGCTATGCCAAATTTCGAGCAAATCGAATGGTATATAGGGACTTTGGTGCACCATTTACATAAAATCGGTCGAAAATATATATGGGAGCTATATCTAAATCTGAACCGATTTTCAAGAAATTGTACACACATCGTTCTAGATTTAATTCAGTACACTATGCCAAATTTCGTGCAAATTGAATGATATATAGGGACTTTGGTGGACCATTTACATGAAATCGGTCGAAAATATATATGGGAGATATATCTAAATCTGTACCGATTTTCACGAAACTTTGCACACATCATTCTAAGCTTAATTCAGTACGCTGTGCCAAATTTCGTACAAATCGAAAGATATATAGGGACTTTGATGCACCATTTACCTTAAATCGGACGAAAATATATATGGGAGCTATATCTAAATCTGAACCGATTTTCGAAATTTCAATAGGGTTCGTCCTTGGGCCAAATGAATGAGCTGTGCCAAATTTTATCCAATTCGAATTTATATAGGGACTTTGGCACCTCATTTACATAAAATCGGACGAAAATATATATGGGAGCTATATCTAAATCTGAACCGGTTTTCAGGAAACTTAACACACATCATTGTAGACCTACAGCAGTACGCTATGCCAAATTTCGAGCAAATCGAATGGTATATAGGGACTTTGGTGCACCATTTACATTAAATCGGACGAAAATATATATGGGAGCTATATCTAAATCTGAACCGATTTTCAAGAAATTGTACACACATCGTTCTAGATTTAATTCAGTACACTATGCCGAATTTCGTGCAAATCGAAACATATTAAGGGACTTTGGTGGCGATTTACCTTAAATCGGACGAAAATATATATGGGAGCTATATCTAAATCTGAACCGATTTTACCCAATTTCAATAGGGTTCGTCCTTGGGAACCATGCACAAAGACATAATTCCCTGTACCACAGTGTGGTGAAGGGTATAACTACGCCTTTATTTTGAACTGATATTAATTTCATAAAAAATATGATACACATTTCCATTGCAATAAAAAAAACAACATTTTACCGGTTTCAATATTAAAACTATTGCAATTTTTCTCGAACGTACCACACAACCCCGCAAAGAAAGATAAGGAGATAGGAAAAAATCTCTTTCACACACACACATACATACACAACAATACATGTTTGCAAATATATATTAATGAACATGAATGCCATAATAATGCAAATAAATAAAATAGATTGCATGGATTTACGTATTTATTTGCCACCAATCTTGGCCATGGGAGTCATAGCCAACATTGCTTGACTCGCTGTCTGTCTATCTGTTTGGTTTGTTGTTGGCATAATTGACAGCCATAATTATGTGTTTCTGGATAATGTAATGCCAAATGCAAAAAACAAAAACCTCATTGAAATTATTACTCCCCGTCATGGAAAAACAAATACTTACTGTTTGCCAAAGAAGCCTCCTGGTGTGGCATAAGCCAAGCCGATCAAAGCCAAGAGTAGCTGCGAAAAAAGAAACAATAACAAAAGGAAAATTAGTTAATTTCATTTAATGCAAATTAATTAGTACAGAAATAATGATGGCAAGTAAGTTAAAACAATGGTGACGCCATTGTAAACGTGAAATGAAACGAAGTTATGAAGATATTTGTTGTAAATTTGAATAGAGTTTAATTTTTTTTTTGTTGAATATTTGATATTGTTTATTTTTAATTTAGTTTATTATAGGCTAAATTTGTAATTTACATAACAATAACGAATTCAAGCTATAAAATTGTTCGCATAAAAATTGCATTGTATGACTGAATGGTTGTCAGGAAAACTTTTGCTATTTGATTTATTAATTATTGGCATGAGGGATCGAAATTAATGAACAAATTGCGGTAGCTTTATAGATACGTTTAATATAAACAATAACAAAATCTCATTCAGATGATCAGTAAAATTCACACTTTAATTAAAAAAATATTTTCAGAAATTAGTTTGATGACACATATTATTACATACACATATGTGGTCTTATGGACAATTCTCGGGGTCAAAAAATTTGTTTTTGATTTAATTCGAATCTACACTAATTCAAGAATGTCCCTACAAAATTTCAAGAGAAAATCTCAATAACTCTTGAAGATATAGCCTATTTATTGTGTCAGCTTCAAGTGACGGCTAAAGGGCTTCTCAATCTTTAAACGCGTTTTTCTCCTTTGTGAATGGCGGTCACGATAACTCAAAAACTAATAACCCAATCGATTTCAAATTTTTACACGTTTCTCTGCGAGTGTATAGCTATCGTATGAAATAGGATAAACCCAATCGGTGAAGATCTTTCTTATTTTTTAACTTGATTTTTGGTAAAAAATCGGTGATTTTCCAAAAATATTTTTTTCAAAGGTCCGCCATTTTGTTAATTTTAGAGCGAAGTCAATAATCCTAGTTCATACGAAAGACAGACATGTGCTCTTTCTAACACCGTTGGAATTTTCGGATTCCGATGTTCCAGTGGGGAGTGGGGTAGTATGTGTGTAACATTAACACCAGGTGAAGAATCTAATTTCGAAATCCCTATCCGAACAAACATTTAGGCGGTTGTTCGATAAATTACAGATAGTTAGAACTGGCTATCAAAAACTACAGTAGATATCGGATATAAGCACATCTCATATAAGAAAAAATCGCATATAAGAAAGATTATCAAAAACACCGAGCTTATACTTTCTTATATTCGATAATTCCATATAAGAAAAAAACGCATATATGAAAGAAATCTCCGGCTTTTTTCGAGTTTCTTATATCCGATATCTACTGTATATTAAAAAGAACTTGGAGAGCATAAAGCCCTTAAATAGTCATGTAAAATCCAGAAAGGAAATTCGGACTGGGCCGGCTATATGATACTCTTGGATATATTCTATATATGTATCCTAACAGACGTCGTCTTTTCGAAGGAACCCTGACATGAAATTGAACGAACTTAAATATGTAAACTTAAATCTGAACCGATTTTCACGAAACTTAACACACATCATTCTAGACTTAAGTCAGTACGCTATGCCCGAACACAACGAAATTTACAACAGGAAGGGAATCTGGCCAAGGAACAAGCACGTCTGTTTTCATACAAATCGGTTAATATTAAGCGGGTCAAATGGCCCCAGACTTTTGTGTGAAGAATGACAACATTTGTATTTTAGGGTTTATATAAGAACTCCTGAAGGATATAGACCCAATAAGTTGATAGTATATCCCAGAGGAGTGGTTGACCTTTAAATTGATACCAATTATATGGTTTTATATACCCGGATGTGGAAGTTATACGTAAATATTTAAAGGTGTCTACGTGTTAAGATATTGTTTAGTATTACTATTACCCCACTAGAGGGCGGAAATGACACCCTGATCGCTTTGAAATTTTACATGCAGTTCCGGTTATGGTCAAAATCTGACATTATGTTTGTCTGATTTTCTAGTCGCTCTAGATGTCATTATTATATGCAGAACGTCACATATTTTACACGGCGAAGGGGATCTAATCAAATACATAGAACGGCCGTGGGCAAAATCAATCAAAACCTAAAGTGACAAAATTTGGAAAATATGCCAGGGTTAGAATGTTGAGGTGTTATCAAACCTAAAATCGATGAAGAGGTTTCAAATATCGCGAAATATTGATCAGTCTCAGAATATAGAACCGCAAAAAGGTAGGTTTCTGTGGTAATTGTGTAGGGTATCATATGCTTGGCCCCGTCCGACTATACTGATCCGCTCACTGGTTTTTATATTTTTTCTCCCCGATAATGGTAACCCTACTATGCGATATTTTCAGGTTTTTAGACATCTTTTTATTCGTCATTTTCGATATGTTCAAGTTCCTAGCATAACCAAAGCGTCTGTAGTTCAGTATTTCCTCTTCTCCTGGAAACCTCAATCGATATTAGTTTTTTTCGAATATTCAACTCGGAGTGGAGGGTATAAAAAATTCGGCCAGGTTGAATTTAATGTGTATGTTTTAACTTTTATTTCCATTGTATGTCGCATATACTCGTATGTATAAGAGCATGTTATACAAGTCGGCTCAGCAGTTGAATTTAAAGTTGGATTCAAATCCGGAGAACAATGATTATTTACTGCCGCCAATTGTGTCACCATAAATCGGCGGCAGAAGTGCCTCTCAAACATTAAACGTATTTTTCTCGAAACTAATAATCCAATCGGTTCCAAATATTTTTATACCGCTGGAATTTTTGGAAACGGACTTTCTAATGATCGGAAATCATGTCCACCGTCAAAAACAAGGACTTTTCGTTAATTATATCAATTAATTATACCCTACACAACTATGTTGTCAGGGTATTATAGCTTTGTGCAGCCCCAAAAGTCTGTAACGCCGCGAAATATTGGTCCTAGACCCACCTTTAAGTATACCGATCGTCATATCTCGACTAGCTGAGTCGATCTAGACATGTGTGTTCGTCTGTCCATTATAGTTTGTAAACACGATGCAGGCCACAGTTATGGACCAATCTTCACAAAATTTTGCATGTAGGATGGGTTCTGGCCAATGAAGACCCCTATTGTTTTTGGGAAAGATCGGTTAATATTTAGGGGATGAAATGGACAAAATACTAAATTTTTGTCCGTTTTTCTGGTCGCTCCAGAGGCCGCAATAATGGCCCGAACATCGTGAAGGGGATCAGGCCAAAGAATAAGCATGCCTGTTTTCATAAAGATCGGTCAATATTTGGTGGGTCAAATGGACCCTGCCTTTTGTGTGAAAAATTACAAAATTTGCATTCTATAGCGTATATATTTACCCCTGAAGGACATAGACCCGAAAAGTTTATATTATATCCAAGAGGAGTGGTTGACCTTTCAATTAATACCAATTATATTGTTGTATGTGCTCGGATTTGGGAGTTACACCTAAATATTTACAGGTATCTCCGTATTCGTTTATTATTTAATAACCCATTATCACTCTAGAGAGCAGAACTATAACGCTGATCGCTTTGAAATGTTCCATGAGGTTCCAATTATGGTCAAGGACAACGCCTATAATTTTCGGTGATGACCAGATAATAATTTTGGAATGAAGTGGACCGAAAATTTAATGAAGTGGACCGAAAACAGAAAATTTGAGTTCCGTGGTAGTTGTGTAGGGTATCGTATTGTCGGCCCCGTCCGACTATACTGCTCCGCTCACTGGTTTTTTTTCTATTCTTAAAGCTTCATGTGCTTATATACAGTTTCAAGTCTTTTAATGTTATGCATGTAATGCATATTTTTATTGATTCGCTATCAAAAAACTTGATTTTTTGAAAATGTCAGATTTTACAAACATTCTTCTAAACAAATTTCAGTAAAAAGTTCCTTATTAAAAAAGATTGATGTAAATTAACAGCACATCAAGAAAAAATGCTTAAAATTCTGTATTTATATTATTTGAAGTTTTATATTAAGAAAATCCACATGATTTGGAATTTTAGACTCTATTTTACCAGAAAACGGATATAAAACTTTGCGGATATCTCAACTTCTGGAAACCCATGGTTTTAATTCATCTAAGTTTTACTTTTAATATTCATTAATGCTTGTATTCGATTTTATTTTTGTATTCTTTGCTACATTTAATTGTTCTTCGGCACATAACATGAAAACGTGACTTCAGCACTTTTGCACACGAGGAATAAATTATAAATGAGACACTTTCCCACGTCGCTGAGTCGATAAGTTCTCAATCAGAAATTCAACACCTTTTTTTGCTAAAGCCAACGTATTAGATATTCTTCGGATTTTCAATTAAATTCTGAACCAAGAAATCATTTAAGAATTCCTCTGTGCGGTAATTATTTTGATTGATTTACAACGATTGTCACAGCACCAAGGTTTGTTTTCATTTCACTTTTATTTGTATTATTTATTATTTATTTCTACTTTAGTTCATTCACTTCTTTTTTGCTTTGTTTCGCTTTTTTATTTCTATTATTCAACTTACAACAACTTTAAGACTGGTCATATTTTCTGAATGGATTATTTCTTTGTTGAATAAAAAAAAATAAAATTTATAAATTCAATTTAATGTTGTTATCCTTGTTGGTAGTTTCGAAGGAAGGATAATCCCAAAATTATTTTTGGTGCTAGTATTTGTTTGTCTTGGTCTTTAATACCAAATTGAAAAATGAACTGATAACCAAACATGGTCTGCACATGGCTTATATACTCTATATGAAGACCATGGTTTAAAACAATTCATTTTTTTTCGGCTGTGGTGTTGTTATTGTTGTTGCTTTTGTCGTTATTATTATTGTGGTGTAGTATTTTAAAATTTCCAAAGCCAGTTAGTTAGTCGCGTTTTGCAGCATTGCCGGCTGTTAACAGTGAGTGTGTAACAGCGAGAGAGTGTAAGAGAGTGGAGCAGCGTCATTATGTTATTGAAGACGCATCGCTGCCATTCATAACAGAGACATCCAAAATAGACTGAGTGGATGGCAGAGCTGATGGCTGATACTGTATTTGCATTGTAGAGCTGTTAGAGAGTGTAATATAAGAAAGGCTATGGTTTTATGGAGACTCGTGAATATTTTAACAGAGGTTGTGAGTTTTGCAAAGATCGACTGTTAATTGCGGTGTGGTGCAGCATTTGCAACCAGCAACCATTGCTGCAACCGCGAAGGATTTTTCCAGAAAATCTGTAGTTGGATTTCAGAGATGTATGAGCTCTTTATGTGCTGTGTGTTATCTCATTAGTAACGTGACCTTTGAATGTTAAATAAATTATTCACTTAACCCCATTCTCGGTATCAATTTTTGTCCCTACGAAATTTCAAGTGAAAATTTCAACAACTCTTGAAGATATAACCGATTGATTGTGCTAGCCTCAAGTGACGGTAAGAGAGTTTCTCAAACTTCAAAGGAATTTTACTCGAAACAGTGTTTTACGAATCCAATCGGTTACAAATTTTGACACGTTTCTTTTGACCCAAGGACGAACCCTATTGAAATTGGAGAAAATCGGTTCAGATTTAGATATAGCTCCCATATATAGTTTCGTCCGATTTAATGTAAATGGGGTACCAAAGTTCCTATATATCGTTCGATTTGCACGAAAATTGGTATAGCCTACTGAATTTGTTCTAGAAAGATGTGTGCTAAGTTTCGTGAAAATCGGTTCAGATTTAGATATAGCTCCCATATATAGTTTCGCCCGATTTTAGGTGAATGGTACACCAAAGTCCCTGAAAATCATTTGATTTGCACGAATTTTGGCATAGCGTATTAAATTAAATCTAGAATGACGTGTGCTAAGTTTCCTGAAAATCGGTTGAGATTTAAATATATCTCCCATATATATTTCCGTCCCATTTTAAGTAAATAGTGTACCAATGAGTCAGTTCACATATAGACACAACTGCAACTCTACCACTTGGCACTCGTTAGTGTATACTAACTTCAGAACGCTGTGCAAAATTTCGTGCCAATCTGCCTATATTTGTCTCATTGGTGGACCATTTGCCAAAAATCGGATGAAAATATATATGAGAGCTATATCTAAATCTGAACCGATTTGTCTAAAACTTAACACTCGTTAGTGTATCCTAAATTCAGTACGTTGTGCAAAATTTCGTGTCAATCGGACTAAATTTGACTCTTTAGAGCACCATTTGCCAAAAATCGGCCGAAAATATATATGGGAGCTATATCCAAATCTGAACCGATTTCAATAAAACTTGACACACGCTAGTGTATCATAATTTCAGCACGTTATGTAAAATTTTGTCCCAAACGACTTAAATTTGAATCATTGGTGCAACATTTGCTAAAAATCGGACGAAAATAGATAAGGGAGCTAAATCTAAATCTGAACCGATTTCAATAAAACTTGGCACACGTTTGAATATCCGAACTTCAGTACGTTGTGCAGAATTTCGTGCCTATCGGACTAAACTTGACTCGTTGGTGCACCATTTACTTAAAATCGGACGAAACTATATATGGGAGCTATATCTAAAACTGAACCGATTTTTCCTAATTTCAATAGGGTTCGTCTTTGGGTAAAATAAATGATCTGTGCCAACTTTCATCTAATTCGAATAATAAATGCGACCTGCACTTTGTTTACAATTTAACATGGACAGACGGACCTACGGACAGACGGACATGCATAAATCGACTCAGAAAGTGATTCTATGCATATTCTCAAAAAAAAAAAAAAAAAACTTGGGTCAATCTCGACATAATACCTTGTACCACAGTGTGGTAAAGGGTATAAATAGAGCTCTGAAATTTTGGTCAGACATAGCTAGTACTCCTAGGATGTTTGGTATTGCAAATGGCATATATCGTATTCGGAATTTAGGGATTTTGGATACGTTTTTCCACTGAATTAGGTGTAATTTGGTATTTTGGGTTCTCCTTGCTTTATACATATCCGTGCCAACAATTATTATTATTAAGGTAGCCACCCTATAACGATACTCCCAGTATTCGGTATTTTGGACACGTTTTCCAACCAACTTGGCTTTTGGGTTCTGATTGTATAGCACATTTTCGTACTAGCATTTTGTAATTATAACTCACGTTTAAGGATAGCCCTCATAAGATGATAACTCCCAATATGTTGATTTTTGACCCGTTTTTCAATCTAATTGATTGTAATTTGGTATTTTTTTGGGTTCTCATAACGGTATTACCTCATCTCCGTACTAAAAATTATTAATATTCGGTAGACCACTATAAGGTATTTTGAGAATCTCAATCATTTTTCTTCTCACGTATTTATACCCTACACAACTATGTTGTCAGGGTATTATAGCTTTGTGCAGCCCCAAATGTTTGTAACGCCGCGAAATATTGGTCCTAGACATACCTTTAAGTATACCGATCGTCATATCTCGACTAGCTGAATCGATCTAGACATGTGTGTCCGTCCGTCTGTCCATTATAATTTGTAAACACGATACAGGCCACAGTTATGGACCAATCTTCACGAAATTTTGCATGTAGGATGGGTTCTGGCCAATGAAGACCCCTATTGTTTTTGGGAAAGATCGGTTAATATTTAGGGGATGAAATGGACCAAAAACATTATTTTTGTCGGTTTTTCTGGTCGCTCCAGAGGCCGCAATTATGGCACAAACATTGCGAATTTTTACATGGAGAAGGGGATCGGGCCAGAGAATAAGCATGCATGTTTTAATAAAGATCGGTCAATATTTAGCGGGTCAAATGGACCCTGACTTTTGTGTGAAAAATGACAAAATTTGTATTCTATGGCATATATATTTACTCCTGGAGGATGTAGACCCGAGGAGTTGATAGCATATTCAAGAGGAGTGGTTGGCCTTTAAATTGATACCAAATATAGTGATGTATCTACTCAGATGTGGGAGTTACAGTCAAATATTTACAGGTGCTTACGTATTTAAATATTATTTAGTAACCCATTACCACATTAGAGGGGGAAATATCGCGCTGATGGCTTTGAAATTTTTCATGAAGTTCCAGTTATGGTCAAGAACAACGCCTACAATTTTCGGCGATGATCAGATTAAAATTTTGGGATGAAATGGACCGAAAACTTAATTTTTTGTGTGTTTTCGAGTCGAGTATAATCCGAAAATCACAGCACAACCCACCGTGCAGGTAATCTGGACAAGTAATTAGAAGGACTGTACTGAATATTCGAAAAAAGTAAGGAAGAGGTGTTGTTGACCTCTAATCGGACAAGAGGGGGCAAATATCACGAAATATTACTCAGACCTGGAATAAACATCCTCAGAAAGTTAGAGTTCGTGGTAGTTGTGTAGGGTATCGTATGGTCGGCCCCGTCCGACTATACTGCTCCGCTCACTGGTTTTTCACTATATTCAAGGTCATATAAGAACTTAATGTACCAAAATTCAGCGTATTCCGTTGAAAAATGCGCTGAAGAACCCAAATATACCGAAAATTGGGGGGTACCCTAAACGTGGACGGATATATCCCATCTTCGAACTTGACCTGCCTGCAGACAAAATACAACCCTATGCAAAATTTCAGCACCCTATCTTAATTCCCTCAGAAGATTACAACGGACAGACAGACGGACGGACATGGTTGGTCGTCCTAGAATTTTACTCTGATCAAGAATATATATATACTTTATAGGGTCGGAAATGAATATTTCGATGAGTTACAAACGGAATGACAAAATTAATATACCCTCCATACTATGGTGCAGGGTATAAAAATGCGAAGAAATTCATATTCAAAGTTTTAGTCATGATGGAAGGAAGAAATTTGTCAGATTTTATACAGGTTTCATAATATGCTCGTCAAATGTTTTCATTCCCAAAAGGAACTTTCAAGCCTTAGAGCATGAGCTTCATTTTATCCCCCCAAGTATTTAATTTATTTTGACAAAATATTCCAGCAATAAAGCAGTATCTAAAGAGGCCGTCAATTGTGGCAATTCCATGCAAACTACAATCGTCTTAACTGAGAAGAGACAGACGCTCGGCATGTCATTGCGTGCGGTTTATTTTATTAAATGCAACATGGGAGGAGGAATATGAATTGGGGAGTGTTTCTGTTAATGTTGAAATACCTCTTGGCGAGAGACCTCTTTATATGTAAAGATTTACTGACTGGAAACGTTAATCAGCACAGTTAGTTAGTTGGTCAAACAGAGCCAAAGGATGCAGACATTTTTAGTCGATGTAAATGTTGTCGCTATTTTTAATGTGCCGGTATTTCGAACTACTTAACATGTCCAGTAATTAAAAAGCGCGGCAAGAGATCTTAAATTATGATTTTAATGTTTATATTTGGCACAAAATCAACAAAAAATGGGACATTTTGAGAAGTGTTGCCGTCTCTACGAAAAATTGGAAATTGGCTTTAAAATACTAATCTCCTTTATTGAATTTCGATTAGCGTAATATATTGGATACATCTTCAGGTCACATTCACACTTTGAATAAAAATCATAAATATAGCGGATTCCAATTCAAACAAAGTTTGCAGGGTCGGGCCGTACTTTTCATATCCTCCA